GTAAGTATGATTCTCAAAACTATGGTTATGGATTTTTTTTTCTACTTCTGATCAGGTTTGTCTTCAATCTGCTAATCCCTTTCAAAGAGGTGCTATTGTAGTAAACTGGTAATATCATCATTGTCATTCATCTTTATCCCTAGTCATTTTTAATACATATTAAGGATGTGGTTTTCCATATTTAACCAATATTATCTTATTACTGTGGCATATATCTGAAATGAATGTTGTGGCATGATTTGCACTCTTTTAATCTTAAAAAAGAATTGCTTGTTCCAATATGCAACAGTTTACAATTAAGAGAGGCTAATTTCACTATTACAACATCAGGTGTCTGAAAGGTTTCCTTTACAACTAAGAGAGGCTAATTTCACTATTAATATGTTTCATGTTGAGACCTAACCAAATCTTCATAGATTTCTGGATAACATTGACGGATATTTTTACCATGTTGAATAAGCAATATAACAATATGCTTGATGTACCTGCCTAGGTAGCTAGACGTATAAAGTATGAGGGATTCACCCCTGCCTTAGACAGTAGAACAGCTTATTCCTCGTGATCAACGTGAGCTCAAGTCCCCTATGGCAAGAGCAATGCCAGGAAATGTTGAATACAATATAATAAATAAAGTGGTAAAAAAAAATAAATAGCCATTCCATTGTGTTTTTTTTTTTTTTTAAAAAAAAAAAGTTTAAAGATCCAGAGTGATGATAATGAGCGGTAAAGAAGGAAACAATGTTATGCAGTAACTGATTCGTAACTGTATTATATACTACTGGATCAATTGGCATGTATGTAAATCTAAATGGGACCATCGTCATCTAAAGAAAATTGATGATGGAGTAGACTAAAAATTATACTGGGTGCAAAAGCTTATTATATAGTTTGCACGGAAAAAAGAAAAAAAAAAAGAAACAGCCATTCAATTATTTTGTTTTGTTTTTTTTTTTAACTTATTTAAAGATCCAGAGTGATGATAAAGAGCGGTAAAGAAGGAAACAATGTTATGCAGTATCAGGTTCGTAACTGTACTATATACAACTTGATCAATTGGCATATATATAAAATCTAAATGGGACCATCGTTATCTAAAGAAAATTGATGATGGAGTAGACTTAAAATTATACTGGGTGCAAAAGCTTATGCTATCGTTTGCAAAAAAAGCCATTCCTCTTTTTCAGTTCCTGATGACCAAGTGTGTTGGGAGGGGTGGACTAAATACGGTATTTGTATTTTCGCATACCATAAACAAAGTGGCTGCCCTTAGATTCAAACCTACCTTTTCATGGTTCGTAACTTGAACTTTCTACAACTGCAGCAAACAATAGCCCTATTCTAAAGCTTGGCAATGCTCAACAGAAAACTAGGTGGCAGTTGTGAAGTTAATTGGATGCATATGATGATTAATATTTCCATTTAAGTACAAAGGTAGGGAAGAAAGATGTTTATATAATTTTATTGGAAAGAGATGTAACGTTAAGGAACTATAGTGGTGAGGACCAAAGAGATCTTATTGACAAATGGTGGTATTGAGAAGAGTTGAAAGTAATTGTAGTCTAGGTAATGAAACCTGTTAGGCCATGGAAACTTTTTTTTTGGTGGGTAAAATATTTTTTGGGTGGTTTATGGAAGCTTTGATACATAAGTTTTAAGCAATACTCACTCACTTGAACACTGCACCCTAATGTTTGCCTTCTCTACCTTGCACATTTTCAGACAGGTTAAGCCCTCACTAATTCATAGAATTGTTGAACCTCAGTTCCTTTTTGCACCAGGAATAACAATTCTTTATATGCCAAGTAATTCCAATAAGAATTTTCCATAGAACATGTTCCACAAAATAGTTCCCATGTAAAATTTTCATATTCTATCAAACAGAACCACCTATATGAATTAGGTTTGGAAAAATTTGATAGTTCTAACATCATTTGAAATTATAGGCATTTTTAGAGAAATAGGATATCTGAAGTTAGATGAACAGATAAATAAAGAACAATTTTAGGGATTGATGACATTTAGGTCAGGTAATCCGTTGAACAAGAGGAATAGTGTAAGCTAAGTTAGCTAACACAAAGGGCAAATTGTTTATAAAGATATATTTTTTTTGATAACACGGTATTCGGCCCATTGGATTGATTAATGCGGGGGACCAATTGCGGGGGTCCTAATTAAAGCCAGGGCACAAGCTTGTATGGATTGGCCCCAGGCAAGTGTCTAGGAGGTTTCGAAATTGAGACCTTGGAGGGAGCACACCCCCAAGCCCCAAGCCTTGACCACCAACCTCTTGAGGTTAAGTTGTTTTTAAAGATATACTACACGTACTAACTTCATTTTGAATCTTATATGAAATTAGCTTATTTTATCAACTAGGCATATCAAACAAAAAATATTACTTGATGACCAAAATGCAAAAATAAGGCAAATGTTGTTGATGTTTTCAGTAGATATCCACATATTTGCTAATATGATCAACTAAATTATTCTAAGATTTCTTTCGTAGATCAACAAATTCTCATGTCTATAAATAGTTTGACATTTCGAAACATCAGTTAAAAGGCGCAGTACTCCTAAGATATTGGGAACATGATATACCCTTGAATTGTGAAGACAAAATCCTATCATGCATTTTTGTGCATGTAAATTAGGGTTTTAATTGACTTCTATTGGCTTTTTTGGTAACTTGAAGTTAAAAATATAAATTTGCACATGTCTGCACGGATGGAAAAAGGGTAGTTCTACTTGCAGAACAGAATTAACTCATTACACCAAATTTCTTATTACACCACTCTCAAAAATACAAAATTTGACTCTCTTTACACTTCTCATAATGCCAAACATACCCTCATCTCCTTCATCCCAACCTTCCAAACCTTAAGTCCTTCAACCACCACCTTCAGCAACCACTGCCGCGTTTTCGGTAGCCATTGCTACTAACTTCGGCCTTCAATCCCCACCTCCTTTCTAACCGGCGACCCGTCTTCTCCTAGTAAAACCCTCCTCTCTCCCTTCAGGCAACCCCCTCCAACGATTCCCTTTATTGCCCCATTGCACACAGCGCAAACCCCATACCTTGCCAACGCAGATATGTTTAAGATTTGAAAGAAGAAGAGAGAGAAAGAACCCAGATCTGAAAGAAGAAGCAAAAGAAGAACGCAAATCTATTTCAGATCTAAAAGAAGAACATGAAGAAGAAGAAGAAAAGGGAGAAGGAAAAAGGCAGTGACAGAAGGAGGGCGGCGGCGGAACAAATGATGGCACAACGGAGATAGGGGTTGATTGGTAGGGTCATGGGGTGGGGGACAACTGCTGGAAATGGTCGCAGAGTTGCAGGCAAGGTTCTGAAAAGCGGTTGCGGTCGCCGTAACGGTGGCGGTGACGCGGTTGCGGTTGTGGGGTGTAAAGGCCGTAGTGTAACGGTTGCGGTAATCGGAACCGTGAATTTTTTTATTTTTCGCACAATTTGAAAAAAATTTACCGATCCGCATATTTTTTTTCCATGATCATATTTATTGGGTTAAAAATAAATATTGATCAATTTTTGCAAATTTTTAAGTATGATCCAATATATTTCATATTTCTAAATCACTATAAACTGAGTTTTTTACATTTTATTTTAATAATTAATGACTTTATATTATACAAAAAATCAATCACTAACTATTATATATAAGATAAACAATGATAAAAGTAAGAGAATAAATAAAAGCCTAAATATATATATATATATACATATTTAACCAAGCTAAATAGTAATGACCACACTTATTATTATTATTATTATTTTCAAACAATATATAGATAGACACACACAAACAAAATGATTTAATGATAGCAGCTGAATAGAATAGTGTAAGAATTTATGTATTATTGATTGATATTGATTGATGTAATGTTTTGATATCTGATAATACTGTCTATTACAAATGGTTCCTTATATAGATGTAGGTGTAGTGGAGTAGGTGGTGGTAGGTGAGGAGTAGGTGAGTGTAGTAGGTGAGTGTGTGTGGTAGGTGATGGTAAGTGTGTGGTAGGTGGTGGTAAATTTTAACAGCCCCCCGCAAACTCAAGGAGGATAGGAACTAACCAACTTGAGTATGGAGAGAGTAACAAAACAAGAAAATACATAAAAATAAAAGAGGATAGAAGACACTGTATGGTCGTGTCAGACCATTGGTGAAGACACTGAAAGGTGGTGTCATAACGTGGTAGAGGACACTGTATGGTGGTGTCATAACGTTGTAGAGGACACTGTATGGGGGTGTCATAACGGTGTAGAGGACACTGTATGGTGGTGTCATAACGGTGTAGAGGACACTGGATGGCGGTGTCAGACCGATGTAGAAGACAGTTTATGGGGTCATGTCGGACCGTTGTAGCAGACAATGCTGTGACAGTTGTTGTGACAGTTTACAGAGTCTTGCTGGACCCTTGTAGAAACTAACCGGAATCAATGTCGGGACAGTTTACAGAGTCTTGTCGGACCCTTGTAGAAACTAACCGGAATCTATGTCGGGACAGTTTACAGAGTCTTGTCGGACCCATAAAGGAGCTAACCGGAATCAATGTCGGGACAGTTTATAGGGTCATGTCGGACCGTTGGAAAAGCTAACCGGAATCAAATGTCGGGACAGTTTATAGGGTCATGTCGGACCGTTGAAAAAGCTAACCGGAATCAAATGTCGGGACAGTTTATGGGGTCATGTCGGACCGTTGGAAAAGGCTAACCGGAATCAAATGTCGGGACAGTTTATAGGGTCATGTCGGACTGTTGTAAAAGTGGCACCCTCAAAAGGTGTGCCCAATCTGTCAAAAGGCGTGCCATCAAAAGGCGTGCCCAATTCATCAAAAGGTGTGCCGGACATGATGGCGAGGCACGTGGGCGCCTTGGCTTGTGCGCTCGTTTGTCGTCTGTCGGTAAGAGGCGCGCGATGCGCGTGGCTACCTCGGCTATAAGACGGAGGCTGAGGTTGAGGCAAAAAAACCTGCGAGAGATATTC